TTCTGTGGTGGAAGTTTGACTCTAAAGTCGACGGGTCCAATTTTTTCCGTTATCTCGTAGGGCCCATAGTTCTTGGCTGAGAGCTTGGCTGACGAGTTGCGGATCTTGAGGTTGCGTCCTTTGAGCAAAACTTTGTTGCCAACCTTGAAGGGAGGGTCCACACGGCCCTGATCGTAGTACCATTTCATTCGTTCTGCGGCCATGGTGAGTGACGCCTGTGCTTGTTCTCTTGCTTCCGCACGGTTGTGAAATACGTCTTCGAGGGTTGGGAAGGCGAGCTCTTCACGAACATCGGGAGCCATCTTTGGGTTGTACCCGTACTCGATGAAGAATGGTGACAGGCCAGTCGACTCGTGTGGTGCATTGTTGTACGCAAACTCCGCGGTGGATAGAAGGGACGCCCAGTCATCTGGCCGATGTTCAGTGAAGATCCGGAGGTACTGCTCAAGCGACTGGTTGACTCGTTCAGTCTGTCCGTCTGTTTGTGGGTGATAAGCCGTGGACATTGACGATCGAATTCCTAGTAATTTGCAAAACTCCTTAAACGCTGCACTCGCAAACTGTGTTCCTCGGTCGGAGATGATCTGTCGGGGAATACCGTGGTGCTTCAGAATGTGCTCGTAGATGAGTTCGGCTGCTTCTGTTGCTGAGAAGTGATCGTCGGCTGCAAAGAAGTGGGAGCGCTTGGAGAGACGATCTACTACTACTACGATTGCCGTGAAGGTGTTGCCGTGTCTATCGACTGAGGGCGGAAGTTGGGAGATGATATCGATTGACCAGATTTCCCATGGGCCAGCGGGGATCTCGTTTGGTTGCAGTAGTCCATACGGCGGTTTCCTGACTGATTTGTTCCGTTGGCAAGTGTCGCACCCTTGCACGTACTTTTTGACGGCGACTGACATGCCGGGCCACCAATAGTTCCGTGCAATGATCTCCAAGGTCTTCCACCTTCCTGGGTGACCTGCTAGTAATGTGTCATGATGTAGTTTCAGCAGGTCGAGGCGGATGCTTTGGTCCTTGGGTACGTAGACTTTGCCTCGTCGTAGCAGTAATCCGTTCTCCATGTTCCAATCTTGCAGGTACTTTCCAAACTCCCGGGGGCCACTAGCCAACAGCTCCTTGTAATGCTTCGTCATTTTGTCATCCTCGAGGGCCTTCTTGATGCGTTCGAGCAGTTCCTTGTCGTCGACGATGGAGGCATGACCGGGTTGCATGGCTTTGATTGCGAAAAACTCGGGTTTCAGCAGTGTCTGTCCGAAGTTATCACTGCTTACCCCCTCTTCATGATCTGGCCTCCTGGACAGAGGGTCGGCTCGTAGCATTGTCTTCCCAGGGCGATGCTTCAGAACGAAGTTGAAGCGAGACATGAATAAACTCCATCGGGCTTGTCGGCGTGTGAGCTTCTGTGCTTGTCGGAAGTAAGTGAGGTTGAGATGATCTGACCAGATCTCAATCGGTTCGGGGTGTCCTTCCAGATAGTGTCGGTATTCCTCCAAGGCTCGGATGATGGCTAAAAGCTCCTTGTCGTAGATCTCGTAGTTACGTTCGTGAACATTGAGGGACTTGGAGTAGAAGGCGACCGGGTGCCATAGCTTATCTTCTCCAAGTTGTTCCAAGACCGCTCCTGTCGCAAAGTCAGACGAGTCTGTCTCTAGCCGGTACGGAGCCATGTCATTTGGGATCTGAAGGATTGGAGCTGTTGTAAACG